GATTGGAATGCAAAAGTTGGAAACAAAGAAGAATAACCAGTAGTTGGAAAATTTGGCCTTGATGATAGAAATAACACTGGAGATTGCAGTATAGAATTTTACAAGACCAATGACTTATTGGGAGCTCTGGTAGCATAGTGGCTACGGCACTTGACTGCTAACCAGAAGGCTGGTGGTTCAAATCCACCAGCACTCCTTGGAAGGAAGATGGGGCAATCTACTTCCGTAGTGATAGTGCCTCAGAAACCCAAGGAGGGGTCGCTATGAGTCAGGTCCGGCTCGACGGCAAACAACAACAATGACTTATTGATTGCAAATATCTTTTTTCAACAACACAAATGGCAGATATACATGTGGACTTCACCAGACAGAGTACACAGGAATCAGATAAACTATATCTGTGTCAAGAGACAATGGAAAAGCTCAGTATCTTCAGCCAAAACAAGTCCAGGAGCTGACTATGGAACAGACCATCAGTTGCTCATATGTAAGTTCAAGTTGAAACTGAAGACAATTAAAACAAGCCCACAAGAGACAAAATATGACCTTGCTTATATCCCTCCTAAATTTAGAGACCATCTAAAGAATCAATTTGATGCATCAAACACCAATGCCTGAAAACCAGAGGCATTGTGGGTGACATCAAGATTCTTCCATGAAGAAAGCAAAAGGTCATTTAAAAGACAGGAAAGGAAGAAAAGACCAAAATGGATGTCAGAAGACACTCTGAGATGTTCCTTTGAATAGAGAATAGCTAAAGCAAATGGAAAAAATGATGAGAGAAAAGAGCTGAATAGAAGATTTCAAAGAGCAGCTCGAGAAGACAAAGTCAATTATTGTAATGAAATGTGCAAAGATAATGGAGTTAGAAAAACAAAAGGGAAGAACACACTCAGCATTTCTCAAGCTGGAAGACCTAAAGAAAACATTCAAGGCTTGAGTTGCAATATTGAAAGATTATACAGGAAAAATACTGAATGATGCAGGAAGCATCAAAAGAAGATGGAAGGAATACACAGAGTCACTGTACCAAGAAGAACTGGTAGATCTTCATCCATTTCAGGAGGTGCCATGTGATCAAGAACCAATGATATTGAAGGAAAAAGTCGAAGCTCCACTGAAGGAATGGTGAACAAGGCTCCAGGAATTGACAGAATATCCATTGAGAAGTTTCAACAAATGGATGCTGCGCTGGAGGCACTCACTTGGTTATGCCAAGAAACTTGGAAGGCAGCTATGTGGCCAACTGACTAGAAAAGATCCATATTTGTACCCATTCCAAAGAAAGGGGATCCCACAGAATGTGGAAATTATTGAACAATATCATTAATATCACACACAAGTAAAATCTTACTGAAGATAATTCAAAAACGGTTGCAGCAGTATATTGAAAGAGAACTTCCAGAAATGCAAGCTGGATTCAGAAGAGGCTGTGGAATGGGGCATATCATTGCTGACATCAGATAGATCTTGGCTGAAATCAAAGAATACCAGAAAGATGTTTACTTGTGCTTTATTGACTATTCAAAGACATTTGATTGTATGGATCATAATAAATTATGGATAACATTAAGAAGAATGGGAATTCCAGAACACTTCATTGTGCTCATGAGGAACCTGTACATAGATCAGGAGGCTGTTGTTTGAAGAGAACAAAGGGATACTGCATGGTTTAAAATCAGGAAGGGAGTGTGTCAGGGTTGTATCATTTCACCATGCTTATTCAATCTGTATGCTGAGCAAATAATCTAAGAAGCTGGATTATGTGAAGAAGAAGGTGGTATCAGGATTGGAGGAAGACTCATTAAGAAGCTGTGATACGCAGATGACACAACTTTGCTTGCTGAAAGTGAGAATGACTTGAAGCACTTTCTGATGAACATTAAAGACTACAGTCTGCAGTGTGGATTACACCTCAACATAAGGAAAATGAAAATCCTTACAACTGGACCAATAAGTAGCATTATGATAAATGGAGAAAAGATTGAAATTGTCAAAGATTTAATATTACTGGGTTCCACAATCAACTCCCATGGAAACAGCAGTCAAGACATAAGACAACATACTGCACTGGGCAAATCGGCTGTGAAAGAAGTCTTTAAAATGATGAAGAGCAAAGACGTCTCCTTGAAGACTAAGGTGCACTTAACCCACACCATGGTATTTTTCAATCACCTCATATGCATGTGAGAGCTGGACAATGAATAAGGAAGACTGAAGAGGAGTTGATGCTTTTGATTTGTGGTGTTGGTGAAGAATACTGAAAGTACTGTGGACTGCCTGAAGAATGAACAAATCTGTCCTACAAGTGCAGCCAGAATGCTTCTTGGAAGTGAGAATGGTCAGACTTCGTCTGACCTACTTTGGTCATATTGTCAGAAGGGAAATCCTTGGAGAAGGATATCATGCTTGGTAAAGTGGAGGGTCAATGAAAAAGGGGAAAGCCCTCAATGAGATGGATTGATACAGTGGCTGCAATGATTGGCTTAGGTGTGGCAAGGATTTGGAGGCTGGCACAAGACCAGGCAGTGTTTCATTCTGTTGCATATAGTTTCTCCATAAGTCAGAGCCAACACAGCGGCACCTAACAACAACAACAACAACACATTAGTTAGTCATTGGCAGGAGCTGCCTGGGGGTAGGATAGAAAAGGAGGCAAAACCTCCCTACCATTCCAAGATGGACTCTTGTCTGCCAGGGCAAGTCTCCCAAGAAAGATTCAGGTGTGGGTGGGTAGCAGCCAACATGCAGCTGCTGGTGGAGGGGTGTGCTGGCCTGGAAATGGGGTTTGGTGGAATATCCATAGCATCTCTACACAGGGTATACTTCAGCCTTTATAAAGTAAATGTGGAAGAGTTGAGGCAAAGTTCTGAACAGGACTTTCTCCATTCCTCATTTCTGCCATCAGCTGCCCCAGGAATTTCCGTGTTTATGTTTTGTCACTTAAGTGCTCACATTCATTGTACCTTCTTGGGGACAGACATCTCTGCTCCTTACTGCCTTGTTTGAGAGGTGGAAATAGTGCGGAGGGTAGCATTTCTGGCTGTTCTCACAGTGGTATTCCAAAGAATCACCTATTATTTCCCCAAAACTCATTCACTCCTGTCGAGTTGGAACTGACTCATAGTGACCCCTCTTTGGGCTTCCAAGGCAATATCACTACAGAAGTAGATTGCCCAACCTTCCTTCTGAGGAGTGGCTGGTGCTGGTGGATTTGAACTGCCAGCCTTCTGGTTAGCACTCAAATGCCTTGGCCACTATGCCACCAGAGTCCCTAGCTATTCCCAGTATCTGCTGTTTCTTGGGTTGGAGCACCCTTAGAAGTGTTTCGTATCCTTTGCAGTAACCATTACTTACACACATTTTGCAATATGGTTTCCTTTTAAAATCCCAAATTGCCTCTTATCTTCTTGGAATACATGTAGTTTCTTATCCAGTAAGAGTTCCACTTTTGTATTTCAGTTAGGTTAAGGATTTTCCTATTAATTTTATATCTTCCTTTCAGAGGATTTAGGTATTGAAAAAGAGGCTGCAATTTATGCTCAGCCCAACACGTTGAGCCAAATCTCTGAAAGATTTCAACCAGCACTAAAGATGCATGAAAAATTATGCCAATTAAATGGCATTCATGCAAAAGCAGAAATTGTGCATTTGAAATGGTTGTAAAGGTTAATATGTTTGTTGTATACCAAAACCAAATTCACTGCCATCAAGTCAATTCGACTCCTTGCCACCCATTCTTGGATTTCCAAGGCAGTATCTCTATGAAAGTAGATTGCCCAATCTTCCTTCCAAGGAGTGGCTGGTGGGTTTGAACTGCCAGCCTTCTGGTTAGCAGTTAAATGCCTTAGGCACTATGCCACCAGAGCTCCCATTTGTTGTATAGTTTACGATAAAACACTATTCGGTTTAAAAGAATGTTTTAAAATTAGTTTTGAATATCTTTATTTCAGTTTTGTAGTAGGTGCTGTCTCTCCTGCTGTTGTTGTCCCTTCTATGCTGTTTTTGCAAGAACATGGATATGGTATTGAGAAAGGCATTCCAACGTTACTAATAGCTGCTAGCAGTTTGGATGACATTCTGGCTATCACTGGATTCAATGTATGCATGAGCATCGTCTTCTCCTCAGGTAAACAAGATAGTGCAACAGCCGCCATATCATTCACAGCCTTTCCTATTACCGCTCTGTGACAGTTAAGTTTGTGTGTCAACTTGGCTGGGCCTGGTTGAGTAGCTGGACAGCTAGATACAGTTATTCCTCATGGTGAGATTGGTAATTAACTCCATGGTAGAATCTATTGGAGCAGCTGAGTAGCTGCTTTAGGGATGTGGTCTGCATCCATTATATAAGAAGCAACTTTGAGGCAGGTCTCCAGCTGGTGGCATGTTTGAACCCTGCATGTAGCTGAGTTGTTGTTCAGCAGCCTCCCATGTTGCCCTGCTGATCTTGGGACTTTTAATGGACTTGAATTAATGGCCTGCCATGTGTGGTAATGTCAGGACTGTGCCTTTTCACTTGTCAACCTTGGGTTTGTCAGCCTCAGCAGCTAGCAGCTGCCTGAATGAAGAGATGCCTCTCACTTCAGTGAGCTGAGAGCAAGGGGCAGAACTGAAGCACAAGGTCATTGGGCTTTCACCCAGTCCCTAGAGCCTGGCATGTGGAACTCGGACTTCTAACCTCCAAAATTGTAAGAGAATAAACTCCTGTTTGCTAAAGATCCCATTTGTGGTATTTCTGTTAGAGCAGCACTTGGTAACCAAAAAAACTCTCTAAACAAGGTTTCTTGTTTTTCTTCTTAATTTGTTAAGACTTTTTTATTCTTCATAGAGATCTCATTCTAGACCAGGAAGAAATTTCATTACTTTAGGAAGGCACTACTTGCCGCATGATCAAGATTTACCAAAAGCAAAGATGAGAAGGCAGGGAAGTTAGGGAAACTGGATGGATGGAATAGTGGGGTAGAAATGGTGAGAGTGCTGACACACTGTGGGGACTGTAAACAATGTTACGGAACAATTTGCATATGGATTGTTCAATGAGATTCTATTTTGCTGTGTAAACTTTCATCTAAAACACAATAAAATGTTTCTTGAAAAAAAAAGAGCATACTTTACCTAATATTTGAGGTCTTGATAAAAGAGAAAGAAAAAAAATGCTTGTCAAAATTATTGTCATAGATTGTCAAATGTTTCCAAAGAACTTTTGAAATTTGCCTAAATCATGGTACAAAGTTTTACTAGAATATATGATAACTGAAAATATTTTTCCTGAATTATATTCTGCTGTAAGTTTAGTACTATTATTAAATGTATCAGTAAAAATGAATGCTGAATATCCCAAATATATAAAGACCAAAGAAGCAATGTAACAGCTCAGAATACTGAGGAATTACTTCCATGTACTATAAGGAGCTCTAGTGATGCAGTGTGTAAGGCACTGGGCTGCCAACCAGACAGTCAGTGGTTCAAACCCACCAGCCACTTTGCAGATTGAAGATGAGGCAATCAACTTCCACAAAGATTTACAGCCTTGGAAACTGAATAGGGGACAGTATGAGTTGGAACCAATTCAATGGCAGTGAGTTTGTTTTTAATAATGCTAAAATTTAAAAATTTTGCTCTTTAACTTTTAAGTAGTAAAAGTGTAATAAACATTCATAAAGAAGAAAAAAAGCACTACTTGATGGACATATTAATAACCATGTTGCAATTAAAAATATTACCCACATTATCACTATTTTCTCAGATTACTTTGGAATTTTATTACTGTTTTCATTAGAAAATTTTAAGCAACAGTATCATTAATATTACTAATATTTAAAAGAGCTATTTTTGAAACATATTCTGGGCATCCTTATAAAACTGATTGCTCTATTACTAAGACAACTTAAATATATAGAGAACCTGGAGAACTTTGTGCCCTTATGATAGTAATAGACAACATCCTACACAAATCTGACCCCTAAGATGATGTCTTGTCTTGAATGTCCCTCTATACATATTGTAAAAGTAAGCATTTTCACATTGAAAACCCACTGCCATCAAATTGATTCTGACTCAGTGATGCTATAGGACATAGTAGAACTGCCCTGTACAGATTCCAAGGCTGTAAGTCTTTACAGAAGCAGACTGCCACATCTTTCTCTTGCAGAGCAGCTAGTGGGTTGGAACTGGCAATCTTTCAGTTAGCAGTGGAGCTCTTAACCACTTCCCCACCAGGGCTCCTTTTACAGGCTGGGATCCAGGTGAGGAGAGGGAACTCAAGCACACACAAAGCAGCAGGGCGGGAGAGCAGGAAAAAGGGGATTAAAAGCCAGGAACTCGGACAGAGGAGCAGTTAGCTGCAGGGATCCAGGTGAGGAGAGGAACTCAGGCATGCCCAAAGAAGCAGGGCAGGAGAGCGGGAGAAAGGGGATTAAAAGGCCTAGGAATCTGGACAGAGGAGGAGTCAGCCACAGGGACACAGGTAAGGGTGGTACAAGAGGTTTCCAAAAGGGAGGCAAACTTGTCTGTCAGTTTCTCCTACCATGGTGACGTGTTGATGTGAGTTTTAAGGCTGAGCCACTGGTGTTTCTAACCCAGCAGGATGCACATGGTGCACAGGTATCATCCCAGCTTACAGACTGAGATGACTAGGAAGAAGGAAGAGACCATCTACTTCTCAAATAATTGGCCAGGGAAAACCTTATGAATAGCAAAGAAACACTGTTTGATACATTACTGTGCAACTTATGAATCATCTGGTTAGGTTAGAAGGCTCTCAAAATAGGACTGGGAAAGAGCAGCATCATCTGAGTAAACCCAGCCTTACTCCTACGGATAAGGTAAAGCTTTCAAGACCTCCATTTACTGATGTAGCACCACTCAAATTGAGGAGAAACAGCTACAGACATCCATTAATCATCAGAATATGGAATGTACAAAGTATGAATCTAGGAAAATTGCAAGTAGTCAAAACTGAAATGGAACACATAAAGATTGATATCCTCAGCATTAGTGAGCTGAAATGGACTGGTTTTGGCCATTTTGAATCAGACAACCATGTGATCTACTATGCCGGGAATGACAGTTTAAACAGGAGTGGCGTGGCATTCATCATCACAAAGGATGCTTCAAGATCTGTCCTGAAGTACAATGCTGTCAGTGATAGGATAATATCCATATGCCTACAAGGAAGACCTGTTAATATGACTATTATTCAA